TTTTTGTATTACATGAAAGATAAGGCCACAACTGTTGGTGTTGCAATGAAAGGTATAAACAACAGCAAGTTATGTTTTTTGTTCCCTTCGAAAAAATACATGAACCGTTCAATCAATCTACCGTTGTGTAACGTTGGGATATGTCTGTTTGAAAGTTTTTCATGCTTTTATCTATTTGAGTTGGGTTAGGATTTGGATTTTGAAAATGTTTGATGCCTGACCTGACCTCCTCAGTTTGAGGAGTGCCTTAACGAAAATGAATTGAAGACTATGTCAAATGCAGTGATTTCATCACGAGGGGGAAAATGTTGTTGCTGTTAATTAATTTTCTTCACTTAGTATGTTAAAATAATTGATCATGGTTTGTTTGTAAAAAAAGACGATTTTGACATTGACAATAATTTGAAAAGTATTAAAATGAAGATATTGACTTGAAACTTTTGATTCCTGGTTTATTTCTACTTCAAATCAAAGGAATTCACAGTAGGACTGACTAGTCCGAACAATGCACAACCTGTTTTCATTGATCTGGAGATTCTCACTGTCCCATGTTTATATATATTTGAAGCCATATTATACGTTCATAAAAGTAAAGATAAACACACTACTGGGGCAATGAAACACGGATACAATACCAAAAGCAATGAGATCATTAGAACAGCTAAAAGGAATTTGGTGAATACTAAAAAACAATCCGAAGCATTTTATGGCAAAATATGTAATACTCTTCCGCAAGAGTGGAAAAACTTTTCAATTAAAAAACTCACATTTAAGGTGAATCGGGCACTTGTTAAGCCAAGCATTTTACAAAATAAATGATGTCTTTGACGCAGTTTGGAAAGTTTAACAATTTAATGAAATGACACTTTTGTAGCTAGTTTTCTCTTATATTTCAAATGTGAATTTAAATATTGTGTAAATTTTTTGTTTGACTGATGTACTATTTTATTATGAAGACCAATATATCCTCATTTTATCTTATTTTACATTTTCGTGTTTACATTCAAATGGACTATGGTGTTACGTTTCAATTTAGCACTAGATCAAACTGCTCTTATGTGACCTTTCAAAACACTACGTTACCTTTTAAGATCTTTATTCAACGGATTTTAACAATGTAATTAAGTTACAAGTAGATTTTATTCATTTAACATCATAGTAATGGGAATCTTAAGTTCCATAGAAAACCATACCTGAAATGTACAAGAATAAATTTATGCTCCCTGACTAACTGCTTGACCAGTACTTACGCATTCTCCTATTGCCAATCGACGTTGGAGATCCGAAATTCCTCGCTAGGTTGAAATAGTTGTTATTGTTTGTTTCTCAGTTTTCTTCACCTATCATTTTTTTCAGCCGTTGTCTGCCTTATTCCCTATACCTTTCCGAGAATATTTCTTGCATAGATTGTTATTCATCACTTCCAGAAGGTTTACTGACATATTAGAGCCATATCGCCTGAAAAACAATATTAGTTACCTCTGGGTTTCTGAATACTGTTTGATATTTTCGGTAAATATTCTGCATAATATGAATGCTCTAATATTTGTACTGAAAGGGAAGGTTATGGCGACTTACCTTATATGTTTCTATTCCATCGCATGAATAAGGATTGGTAAATAGTTGAAAATAGGTTGGAACAATATATTT